ATCCAATAGCATTCTACTCATTCCTGTTTGATACTCTCCTTGTATTTGTTCATACTTTTTCCTAAAGAGATGACAATCCTTTCTTCATAGTTCTGTTTCTGAACATAACAGTAACTGAAAATATTAAATTACTATGAAAACCAACCTGCAGTTGATGCAAGTTAAAAACAAAACAAAAAAAAGACTGTGACTCTGATTTAAAAAAATAGTAGGACTTCAATATAAGCCAGAGATTTTTTCCAACATTACATTGTCACCTTCAGTGGGTTATGAAGGTGAGCATCCTTCACAGAGTGGTATAGATGATGTTTATTGTGCAGAACTACCTGGGTGATCTTGGATCACTCCTGTTAATAACACAAGATAAAGTGGAATAGGCTCGATCTGGCTGAGGCTTTGTGTGTGTCTTTGTTTTTCTTTAAACACAGAAACCTAAATTTACAATCCTAAAGCTGGAATCCATTTTCAGTGTGATGAAAATACATGTTGTTTTTATACCAAAATAACCATATTTAAGAAGTCTTTTGTAGAATACTCTTTTCACACCAATGAATAATACCTAAATAGTTTTCACTACACAAGCTGTTACAAATACATTGTCAACAACAGTCATGATTTGCACATTCTTTGGTTGTACTCCAAAAGAATTAAAAAGGTAAAATGAAAGCTGTCAAGAACGGTGTAAACTGTCTTCAGTATGTTACTTGCTAAATGTTATCACGGGCTGGAAAAATGTGTGTATTAAAAAAAGTTCCCTTACAACAAAAAGATCATACCTATCAACAGGCTGAAATATTAAATGGTCATGTGACAGAGCAAAAGGGAAACTATTTTTTCCACATTTTTTTCGTTTTGGAGGAACTCTCACAGAGCCAATGCAGTGGATTAGAAAACACACTTACCAACTTGAGGACTCTGATAAGCAATTGCTTTATCAACTTTCAGTTTTGGCTGAAGATCAGCTACTTCCCATGGTCTGAACTCTGATGCTGTGGTGACATTAAGAAGATACTCCATTACTGTATCACTAGACAAAAAAAGTTACAAAGGCATTAACCACAAAAGTAAAACATACTTCTGCAGTTCAAACAGATCCATAAGCAACACATTAACAACAAAATGTATCAGAGCAGTTATTACCACTGCTGTACAAAGTACAAGAATCCAACTTCAGTTCTGTAGCATTCATATGCTCAGGAATACAACACAGAAGTTGAATCTTAATATACGGATTTATTGATTTATTACAGAAGCACAAGGACATTCCTCCCACCCTGTAAAATGACAGATCTTTACTACAAAAAGTTTGTACAGAATGCAGTAATTCCCTTTACAGCACATCCAGATACCTACACGTAGTCCCGCAGACATTCAACACTGTAAGCAATCTTCTCTCTTGTTGAGTACACACTAAAGGAGAAAAAAGCAAAACCCATTTCAGCACAGAACACAGAAGTGGATTTTCCCAAATTTTCCACATTTATTGAATTCAGCAGCAAGATATGGACTGGAATAATCATTTAACCTTAAATCTGCTTGGGATGACTGTTTAAAGGAGTGATAATACAAACACTGCAAAGCCAGACATAATTAAAACTCCCATCTTCAATATTCAAGTAATAACAAGTGTCATGTGACCAACAGAATTTAAGATACCACAATAATTCAAGGTAAAACAGCAAACAAGGCTGAATACCAAAACAAGAAAAATGTATATATGTATTAAATAAAGAAATTTAGAAATTTTTCTCTTTGGGCAGAAAACATAGCTGGTCTTGTCCTTTTCCTTCAATGCATTTGTTATTGACAGGAACAGAAAAGGGTAGAGTCTCAAGTCTGTTTTTAACCAAATTCTAAATAAAACAATCTTACTGGATGATTTCAAGATACATTGCAAGAAATGAGGCACAGCGAGATCCCTCTTTTATTTCTCTTAGTCTTGTTTTCTAGGCTTTAAACTCTCAAATCACAAAAGGCAACTACTGTCTGAATTGTTCCCGAACTTGCAGTATCATGAGTAGTATCTATTGACAAAAGATGGAGAAAAATAACCTACTGACTTCAGCAAGTTTAATCTTAAAGTCTGAAAAGGCAGAAAGAAAATTTAAGCTTTCTGGACAAATCATATTTCTTCCAGGTACACAACATTTATATTTTCCTTACTGAAAGGTCTTTGTAAAATACAAATCCCGAGTGCACTCCTGAAGCTTCGTAAAATGTGAAGTACAAGATGTTCCTTGACAACATTCACTTTTCAAGTACCAGTTCCACACTGAGCTTATCCACCTACATATTGTTGTGCATATTGTCTTCTGTTCCCTTCAGTCACAGAGCTCATTTGCATCTTACCAAGACAGATTATTTCTCTATGTGGTTACAAACCTCAGGCTGCCCCCAACAGCTTCAATGCCTCGAGTAATCCGGAAGGAGGAAGCTCCTTTAGTAGTCTATGAAAATAACAAAAAAAAAATAGGCAACTTACAATTCTAGCTATGTAAGAACAGGTTTGGGGTTAATGGCAGCAATAAGAAAAACTATTCAGAAATATTCCACACACATGCACAAAATTGAGTTTGTGTCAGCCACCTAAAATAATTTTTACTGCAGCCTAAATAAAATAATCTATGTGCAAAGCTAGGTATAGATATAATATATATATATATGTATACATACATACACTTTCAGGCACCACAGGAGAGCATAATTCTAAAGAAATATTTCTTCCTGTCTTCCAGGAAATAATGTCATTTCTCCTGCACTCAAACCAGGTAACCAAGTACCAGGGTCCACTGTTTTCCACTTTATAGGATGTTACATTAAATTTTTTACCGTAACATTTATTGTTGCAATAATAAACCTTTGACCACTGCATCTACTGCCAACATCATAACAAAGGGAATAAGCACCTACCAAATTAGATGCAAGACGAAGCAGGTGAGCAGTTCCCAGGTTGCTGGTGGTTTCATATCTGCTGCCTGTTTTAATAAACACACCAATTCTTGAAGCTGGAGAAAAGTTTTCCAGAGATGCAATAACTAAGCCATTTGGTAATTTTGTGATCTGTATTAAAGAGGAAAAAAAAAATGGTTTAGTCCTTCACTGGAAGTACAATCACAGCTCTGCTTCGACTGAGTTTTAAAAAATAAATTAAAAGGAAAGAGAAATAAATACCAGTACTCATACTGACCTCAAGATCCTCAGACTCTGGAGATAATTTCACTTTTGCTGCAGTTGGTGAGCTTTTAACTTTAGGAGCTACTTTAAGAGAGTAAAATCTCTTCTAGAAGAGAAAGCAAAAGAGAATGGATTTCCTTAATTCATTTATCATATGTTCCATTACATACCGAGGAAGCAACTAATTTTAAACTAGAAATACAATGAAGGATTTCAAACCTCAGAGTAGAAACAGTGATTCCCATGTAATTACTCTGATTATTTTTTACATCACTGTTGAAACCTGTGCAATGATTTACACAAGCTTTCTGGAAGTTCAAGAAACAGCACTGCAAGAAAGCTTTTGTTTTTCCCCTCTCTTTGCTGCTGTGCAGTGGGAATCTCTCCTGTCCTATACAG